CTTTTATTGCGTTTTGAAACTGGCGAACAATTTATATTGTTCGAGTTCTTGACAGAACGCTGAGTCATGCCAAAACAGCGACATTTTACGCGATAAATACGGGTTTAAATATCAGCATTTGCCAGGGAAGGCGAGAGGCAGCTACCATAAACCTTCTCTTAACTTGTGGCATTTACTTGCCACGGCAAGTTGTGGCATGGTTGTGGCATATACTTGCCACAGATACCACGGAGTAGCGACCTCTGTGGCAGATGCCGGAAGTACTTGCCACTGCCTGCCGATGCCACGAAATGAGCCAGGCCCTACTGACATTAAGGCGTGCCAGATCAGCCACTTTGTGAAAACAGTGTTTCACTGCAACATTATTTGTGTGTGATGCCTGGTATTGTTCTTTCTGTCTTTGATTCAGCTTTTATATTTAACATTTACTGTTATTATTGTAAAGAGCATTCAACATTGGAGTAAGTTGAGTAAGGATGTCATATTTCATGCTTCAAAGAGATATAGTATATAGTATGTTTATAGGGTGGCTTTGCTGCTTCAGAAAATAGAAATAAACAAAAATAACTGATAGGAATGGTGGTAAACTTTGGGACCAATCAGTAAGTAGCACGTTGGTGACATTAAAAAGCACGATCGCATTTCTACTAATTATAAATTAAAAAAGCCGCACCCTAGTACTGAACCGGTTTGGCAGGAAGAGCAAATGGAAAATTATTTGTTTATCTAACAATAGAAACGTATGTTATTAAAAACCTAGCGCAGATAAATCCTTTAACAAGAACATGAACAATACAAGTGAATTGTATGTTTATTGGAGTGTATACCACATCAAATACATGTATGCATTAAGAATTTTGTGAGGAAAAAAAGAGTAAATAACAAGAAACCAGATAAGCCATCATCTAGATCTTTCAGTGAATGAAAAAAAACCAAAAAACATTCATTTGCAGTGAGTTTCGTCCTTTTAAAATATGAGAAAACAGATAGAAATCATTCTTTAAGAAGCATAGTCTACATCAAAATCACCCTCCAGTAGTGCTGTAATCAATGTTGAGGATTTAATTAATTCATTGAAATTTCAGACTAAACGTATCAAACAATGCTAAACAGAATATAAACAGATTCAAAACAGAAAATAGCCTACATATATTAAAAAGACAAAACAACTGTTAAATAATTAAAAGCAAAACGTCTCTGTGACATCACAGCAGTGGCTGAGATCCAATATCTATTTTCCGATACATGAGCTTAGTGAGGACTTTTTCACTGGGGGACCTCATTCAAAGCAAATCAAAGACAGCATAGCAACTCATAGTTTGCCATTATGGTCAAAATGTTCCCAGGGGTCTCTCCTCCTCTCCAAAACAAACTGACCCAGAGAGTAAAGCTGCTTCAGCACTGAATAAAGCAGTTTACTTTTAAAGTAAGTGTTTCCTTGATGGATACAAGCCAGAGAGGCTACAAGCTAATGCAAAGTGACCTTAGCTTCTCTGACAAACAGTTCTGGAGGTTTAACGTTCATAGTTGATCTGTAAGTCCTCTTACATCGCCAAACATTGGTACAAACCAAGGTGTTAACCTCTGATTGTCGTCCTAGAATCGGACATAAATCTGCCTAGAAGTCCTGTTGCCTGAGCTGGGGTAAAAGCCTGTTAGTTAAAAAATACCAAGATTGAAAGTGTTTGGTAAAAGTGTGCTGAAAACTGGATTAAAAAGTACATATTTATGAATGCTTCTGGCAGACAACTAAAATGCTGTTGCACACGAAAGCAGAGGTGGTGTGGATGTGGGGGTCGCTATTGACATGCAGATATATCTTAATAGACTGAAGAACATGAGGTTATCATCAAACTGCTTTTTTAAAAATAGGATTTTAAAATGACATGAATTAGGGCTCCACATTATGCTAACACTAAACAACACTCAAAGTAAACGGATAAAAAAAATTGTTGAAACCCAATCCAGTGGCCTCATGTCTTTTATCCTCGGTAGGTTAACTGGCGTCTGCTGTTACTCTCCACTGATCAACCCTGAAACATAAAACAGAGAGACAAAGAGCGATGCTGTGAAATTGAATATTAATAACAAACACTTGTTAACATCTTATTAACAGTTTTGATCATCAGTTTCACTAAAACCTACCTGTACACATCATGAACGCACTGCAGCTGCTTGACCGGGTTAATCACTACTGTAATAAAAGCACAGTTAGTATTTTCAGAAAACAAGTCATATACCAGACAATATGTATATTTTATATTATATTTATTATACCAAATAATTGCATCATCATCTGGACTTTTGGTCAGGTCATTGTAGTATTGTCTTTACCATCTGAAGCTCAACACTTACATCTGAA